AACACTGAAGAGCGTTCCTCCGTAAGTTCGAGAAGAATCTAACGAACATGTTCTCGATCGCAAAAAAAAACGAAAACATTTGAGATTAAGGAGGAATACTAGGAATAAAATAATCCGAGAATTTTTTTACCAGATTTATATGCTTAGTGTGTTAGTGAGTTAGATAATTTTCGGAACGTGTCGTTTTCAATCGACTTTTAACATAGAATTCAAAATGTATGGTCCTTGACTAGTATAAACAACCGAAACCCTAATTAATTGTGTCCTCAACAGTGTACTGTCCTCTTCTGGGTTGATCGTGATCAAGCTGTTGTTCATCTTATAGAGTCTTATGTATAAAGCATTTACTGTGCAAACTTTTACAAAAAAAATCCATTTTATTATAAGTCAAGTACATAAACACATCTAACGCGACAAATTGGGGTTTTCGAGGATTCGAGCCTCTTTCAGCATACCCTTTCACAATACTTAAAAATTAAGAAGAACATTGAGGGTTTCAGCCTCTATTTAAGGAAACTCTCACTTTTGTTAAAGGCGATTAAAACAATGGAGCGCGAGTAATACTTTTCTGTGCTAGAGATCCATAAAACATAAAGATCTAGAAAATTTTCCCAATATCGCACTTTTATTATTTGCAGTTTCACAGTTGTTATAGATTGGGGATAAGCATAGAACCATTTCAACACTTGATGAGTTGTGTTTATGAGCGAATAGGCTGGTATGCATACCCTAGCAATGGATAGCGTAGTTCCCACAACACAATTCTACTAGTCGATTTGCGCGACAGTACATACAGCAGCAACGGTTTCTTGCCGCCTGTGTGTGTTCGCGCGCAAGTGAGCGAGCGCTACCGTATCTTTTACGATTCCGCTAAAATGGTGATGTTGGTTTTTACGAGCACCCAATGATGCCCCTTGATTTGCACTATGTATTCGCATCCAATGGGTCGTAAGTTAACGTAGGAAAACGCTGCGCAGAGAGAGCGGAGGTTGAGCGGAGACGGCGACATGACAATGAGGTGCTGAACGCTGGCACGAGTGGTGTGACCAGCAGCGGAATCGCCTGATGATGCAGCCAAATGTGCTTCATGCGCTTCATGACCTCTTCGCTTAATCGGAGGGACTTAGAGTTAGTTTTAGACATGTGGGATCTCAGCAGCAAGTAACTATTGCTGATTCACAAAAAAAGTGTATAGTCCAACTTGGAAATACTGGCAGAATCCCGGGCAGGTTTTTCGACTGTGCCCTCTCGCGCCATTTAGCCATAAATTTGTCTCGAGTAATCATGAGGTAATAAAGATGTGCACATACGTGCGCGCACCCACACCTACCCAGGCAAGAGGCGATAGCATTGCGATAAGCGCCAAGGACATTTGCACCATTTGTCAGAATTCGCGGTGTATACCACCGGAGAAGACCCCCCTCGGCGTTGCTGAGAAGATGCACGCCGCTCTCCTCAACATATTGTCCGGCCTTGTACGACTGGCTGCCTATCAGATACATTCGGTGAATACTGGAAGAAATACAGTAACTGTACAAATTCTCAGCATATTCCTTTTTATGCAGTAGAAAATCAATATCTTGATTTTCAAATATCTACAACTGATGAATGGGTCGTGAAACTCGGCCTTTCAGTCCATTGGCAAGTAGTTTACAACTCAAATTCCTCAATTTGAGAATATCATGTTAATCTGGA